TGCACAGAGTCCTCAGCTCTCTATTCGTTCGCAGGTTCATCTTCTCCTTGTATTGTGGACCGAGCACCGTGAGGAAATAAGAGGCGGCGATTGCCGGGATCAGATTTCGTTCGGTCTTCAAATGCATGGGCCCCTCCTGCCGAGCTAAGATTTCATGCATCTTTTGAAGCAGCCTCGAGGCCAGGCGACCCGGATGTTATTCCGAGTATTCCTGAAGCTGAAGCTGTCGCGACTTCGTGGAAGGGCCCGCATGAAAATCCGATCCAAAGTCTTCGTCATCATCCTCAGACGATTTTAAATCCGACTTCTCATCCGGGAAAGTTACACGATGACCAATACCAAAGGGACCACGGTCAGCCTATTTGGTCTTCCTCGCCACCGATGCCCCCCTTTTTAGGGCGCTTACCTTTTTTGCGCTTGGCTGTTCGCAAAGGCTCCTCCTCCTTGCGTTCTCTGGACTTATCCTTACGTTTCCAGATGGTGGATCAGTGCGGTGGGCGAACCACAATGGTGCTAGATCAAGGGCCTTCTTACGCTTACGTGTTTTTTGGCCTTCGTTTCTTTATCAACAACTTCAATGACCTATTCAATCCCCTTCTTTTTCTTCCGATCCTCTTCAGCTTCAGCCTCTTTTGCCTTAAGGCCACTATTTTCCTCAGTGCGGCCAATCTCGCAGGAATATCCAAATTCGTGAGCGCGTCGGGTCCAATATCTACTTCCCAATCCAAGTGTCCTAGTTTCCCGGCCGCGGCTCCGTAAGTTGGATCGAATAGAGGCTCTATTCCTACCAAAATGGCAATTTCTCCATCAATTTCTTCCTTGACCGGAGAGACTTTACATGCCGTGATATCGCCCGATGTAATATCCCGGAACGTGTCCGAATGGAATTCTTGTTTACGGTAACGTTTCGTGGAGCACAAGTAGACCACGAAATTGCGACGATAATCCTTCCCTGGCCCTCTCTTAAGCCACCATTATAGGTGCTCGTCGGTTGCAGCAACCAACCTAACTTGGAGCCACAAACCTTCCTTCTTCTTCTTCTCGATAATGTGGTCCATCTGCCAAAGTGCCGTACCTTGTCGTTCTTCGTCATTATCGAATTGCTCCAATTCTACGTATCCACCTTCCGCCACCGCAAGTTCCTTAAAAAACTCTAAATTACGGGGCAGATGGATCCAAGGACCTAGGATAGTCCAACCTCGCCCGTAGGCGATCCCACCGCATACAAGCGACCCAGAAGAAACTTAAGAACAAAAAGGGCAGATGAGCATAAAAACTCGTCTTATCACTGCGTTTCGTTCACTCGTAGCAATATATCATTTTAAATCGATATAACAAAATATATAATCATAAATTTCCATAAAAACAAATATAAGATATTCTTTATCAAATATATTAGCATCTATATAATGAATAATTCAAATTAAATTTAGCGTTTTATTGATAAACACAATAAATTACTATTTTTTCAATTTCCTCATGTCCATAATCCCATAAAAATCATAATTATATATAAACAATAAATCAATTAAACTATCGCACCTCCCCCCAAAAACAAAAAATCATCAGCCTAGCTATTCTAGAAACAATTGATTGTTCTATTATATCGAACCTGAGAAGCTGCAAAACGAAAGCCAGCGTTTTTACTTTCGATTGTGCTTTCTCAGGCCACCCGAACCCCCGTTCTTACTCAACTGGCGCAGGGTAACTACAATTCAATTACCAGGTATAGTCCTTCAAGTTCCCTTTCCGTCAACCGCTCGATAACTTTGCATACGCACAGCAATCCAAAGAAATGAAGTCTCATTCTTGCATTGAACTTATATAGGTGTGTAAGAGCTATAGCAACATAGCATCTATACGGACCCAGGGTAGCTACAATTCTGTTGCCAGGTATCCCACTTCAATTTCCCTACCCTGGGTCCGCGCACGGACCCAGGGCAGCTACAGGGCAATTGCCAGGTATACCCAGGGTAGCTACAACTCAGTTGCCAAGTATAGCACTGCAACCAACCGAATGCGCACCCCTACACACAACCTACTTTCGAGTGTGCTTTCTCAGGCCACCCCCCCGAACCCCCCTTCTTACTCACCTGGCGCCTTGCCAGGTATAGATACCCAGGGTAGCTACAATTCCAGTTACCTTTCCGTCAACCGCTCGATAACCTTTACACATGCACAGCAAACCACAGCTTTGAAGTCTCATTCGTGCTTTGAACTTATATAGGCGTGTAAGAGGTATAGCAACATAGCATTTATACGGACCCAGGGTAGCTACAATTCTGTTCCCAGGTATCGCGCGCATGAGACTTCAAAGCTGCGGATTGCTGTGCGTGTGTAAAGGTTATCGAGCGGTTGATGGAAAGGGAACTTGAAGTACTCCTGGCAACTGCACTATAGCTACGAAGGCTGGCTCTCGTAATGAACACCACCATGACGCTTCAATCTGACGAAATGTCTGGCGTGTATTAAAACATTACTCCGGCATTCTTTCCGACATATCTTCTGACATTCATTCCGGCATTTTATTCTGACATATCTTCTGACATTATTTCTGCATCGTGATGTCATCCCTGGCATGATGTCGCCCCTGGCATGCCACGACGATGTCACGCCTGGCATGACATGATGTCATCCCTGGCCTGACGTTGGCGAAGGATGGGGCAGGAAAACATGCTGGTGTAAACTCGGTGTGTCGCAGCGACGCTGGGGGGCGAGCTGACTGGCGGCGCCGACGATGCTTAATGTTACGTTGTTGTATCTAGTCTGTTGCAGTCTGTGGCCAAATTCCGTCTGTGATGTCGCTGCGCGATGCGGCTTTGCGCGGCCAGGGTGGCAAGTGGGTTTGCGTGAGTCCGTGCCATTAGGGGTAAGGAAAGCGTGCTGGTGTAAATTCGGTGTGTCGCTCGGGAAGGAGATGACTGGCAGCGCCCACAATGCTTAACGTTACATTGTTGTACTTAGCCTATTTGCACACTGTGTGGGCAAGTTCCGTCTGTGATTTCGCCGTGCCATGCGGTTTTGCGCGGCCACGGTGGAAAGTGCGTTTGCGTGAGTCCGTGCGATTGGGGGAAGGAAAGCATGCTGGTGCAAATTCGGCGCGTTGCTGGGGAGCGGGATGATTGGCGGGGTCCACGAGTCTCATCTTACTACATCTGCAGCAACAACTTTAGAAACGTGCGGGCTGTGCGTTTTCTTGTATCATCTTGTAGCGTAAGCTTTTGAGCTCTCAAAGGTTTTTATGGACATCCCTTACTACGCACAATCGTCATTATCTCACAAGATGTTCCTATCCCGGGGCCATGGAAATAAACTACCCGACAACAAGAAAGAAGAAGTTAACAAATTAAGAAAAAAGAAGAAGAGATAAGAAAAGCATATATTTAAAAAAAGAAAAGAAAAGAAGAGAACACGAAGCGAAAAGAAGAGACGAAGAGAGAATAAGATAAGCAGAGAACAGAAGAAGAAAAGAAGAGAAAAGCAGAGAAGAAGAGAGAAGAAAAGAAGAGAGAAAAGAGAAGAGGAGAACAGAGAAGAAAAGAAGAGAGAAGAAGAGAAAAGAAGAGAAGAGAGAAGAGACGAGACGAGCATGCTCATCATCACCGCTTCCGAAATGAAAAAGACTCGCTCCAGGCGGCTCCAGGAGAGAGAGACTTAGAAATGAGTGGGAGGGGGAAGGAGAATCACAAGAAGGAATAGAAGGAGCGCAAGGGAGAAGAGCGCGAAGGGGAGTCTATGGAGAAGAAAAGGATACACAAAACAAGAGGAAGGAGCAAAAGGAGAAAGGCAGAAGTAATTAGGTGCCACGCTAGTAGTAACAGGTGCCACGCTAGTAGGAACAGGTGCCTTACTAGTAGTAACAAGAAGCTACTAGTAACAAATAACGGAGAGAAAGGAGAAGAGGGGCGACTGAAAAAAGACTGGTTATATGAGCGGGAGGGAGTGAGAGGGAGGTGGGGAGAGGGGTGCCTTCTTATCCATCGCTTCGTGTTTTGTGCCGCATGAGCAGCTCTGGTCTCTTCGCACTCAGGCGATGACGGGGAGTGGGAGAGAAGCTCTTTTCAACATTTCTGTTCCTCAGACCCTTTCGCCATTCTGTTCCCTCAGCCGAGGTCTAATTGCATTAAAGGTCTAGTTACGCTCTTGCGAGCCTTATATCATATATCTAAGTGTGAGCAACATATTCTTCGCAACCTCTATGGAATCTGAGATCCTCAGTCTGTACTAGGCCTATGCCTGTGGAAAACCTCCGCAAGCTTAGAACTTAGTGTTGTCCTCCCGCAACAACCCACCAAGACCACCCAACATCATGAGGTGTGGGGCGGTTTGAGGGGAAGAGATGATGTCCTGGTCTTTTGTGCTTTCACAGGTTGCCCCCTGCCACTTCAGCTTGATGTTTTGTGCAGGGACTGTTGAACAACCAAACCACAAAATCCTACATTTCAAGTGGTGCTAAGGCAGGTTTATGGCAGTCTCTCTCTCTCTCTCTGCAGTGTCTGGCTGCAACGCAGCCGTCCCACATATGCAAATGAGTTGGGTTCTGCAAAGGCTCAAACATTTGAATATAAAGAAATTGTAGACGCCAACCATTCACTGTTCATGTTTTTATTGACATGGGTCCTAACTTGCGAGCTCCCAATGTACCATCCACGCGGGGTTGGAGATCATGGCCGGTTACCAAAACGACATGATACCTCTCATTCCCTCATGTCATGATGTGGCAGCCATGAATCTTGAATGTTGGAGGCCATTGCTTTTAGGTTGGTGGCCATGTGGAGTTGTGCAACTTCTTTTCCTCGGATTCCTATTGGATTGGTGCGTGGACTTGAAGTTAGGTCCTTTCAGGACCTTGCACTCTTCGAAATCCACGTGCTTTTCTCAGCAACTAGCCCACTAATTCAAGAGAGATGGACTTGGTCGAAAGAAAACATATGCCTGTAGTGATAGCTATAGGGCAATGGCAAAATTATTCTAACGACTCACAACTCACAACTCTTAATCTTGCATCTTGCATCTCTCTCAAGCTGACCCGTTCTTTACTGTAACACTTTTGTGTTCTCCTCAAGAAGCACATACACACGCACACACACACACCAAACCCGGAATGCGGAATTCAAGCAGCAATTGCCGCAATCATTCAGCGAACCAAACATGCCTCTCATAGGTTATTCTCGATTCTTTCTTGCCTCAGCGAAGCACAAAATGATCAAACTTAAGTGACCCAACATCGTCCCAACTGACTCAAGCTGCCATCCAAACAAGCACCAGGATGTCGGGCTTAATGCTTCCGCCAGGCGGCCTGCTTTGTCAGGCTCAGGCAGCTTTACGGTTGACGATGCCCGAGTGATCTTGTCACGCGTCTGGGAGCATTCCCTCATTGTCCACGACCCTTTCAGATCACCGTGGTAATGCAGCTCTCTCTCCTTAAGGCTTTCAGGAAGTGCAAAAATGATGCAAAATACAAAGGGGTTCAAACACTACTCACTGTGAGGAGCATATGCTGGAGTGCCAAGCCGCATGAAAAAGCTTGAGTTCTATTTTGTGAGATATGGAGAACACCGCCAGGTTCAGGCGAGTACAGCGGTCATAGAGGTCATGCTCCACGTCAGGTGAAATGCCATTGGTACATTCATCCAGGACTACGAAACTGGGCCTGTGATAAAACCTTGGCTGGGCATGGCTGGGCGTGGCTGCTTCTGTTTGAGGGGAACTTTCAGCTTTCAACAGTCACACCTCACAAAGTTAGCTCAGAAACAATCTTGCAAATGCCAGCCTCTGCTTTTGACCAGGTGAAAGGTCTTTCTGCCAGTCTCTAACATCATTCAGGCCAGGCCGGACGACGTTCCCCTGGTCATTGAATTCAAGCTGTGCTCGGCCGTCATGAATGACAGTAGGCGAGACATGCGCCCAGCGCAAGCAAACGCGAACGTCTTCATCAGTTCTCCCCGAGGCCAGCATTTCTGTATGAGACTGCGGGTAAATAACCAAGTCCCGCAAAGAACCATAGGGGACAAAGTTCACCTGCCTGGGCGTGCGCGACAAACACGGTTTAACATGGTGCTTTGCAAACTGCTTTTCCCGGGATGACGTTGTAGTGTCTCCATAAACAACTGGGCACTATTTCGACAGTTTTTCAAAGCTTATCCCGCCCTCAAGCGGGAGAAGTTTCCATGAAAATACCCAAACCATCTGCGTGCTTCCCACTAGTAGCTTCATGTTGTTACAGTACCTTCTTGCTACTATCTACCATTATCTAGGAACAAGAAGCTACCAGTAGCTCCTGGCATCGCTACTAGGAACCCGGGCATCGCTACTAGGAGCAAGGATGCTACTAAGAACAAAAAACTACTAGTAGCTACTAGTAGCTCTTACCTATCTAAAAATTACTACTTGCCGTCCCTGGTCTTGGGCCGACCCCAGTCTGAACTTCATTTGTCCTGCCAAAGGGCTGGTCCTTCTAAGGTGTGCTTTATGAATTTATACAGTCAGTCATCCAGCTGTTCTACCACTCAAAAGGCTGCTAACAACGTCTAACATGCAAGTAGTGGGAGGATATCGCGGCTTGACAAAAAGGAACAACATGCACTGGATCAGGAAAGCGTCGTGAGAAAATAGATCTCCTCCAGGGTGATTAAGGCATGACTCATGACGTTGAAAGCACAGACAGTAGAGTCTGCCTTCTGCATAGTCCCATGCTGAAAATCAAATTGACATAGATTAACTTTGTATTTCGTTAGCCTTTCTGAACGGTGTCCTTGTCGGGCGGCATCGTAATCGTCCCTTCAACTAATGGCCAAAGCTTCCGAATGACACGAAACAAGCTTGACCTGAGACCGGAATACATTCTGAATGAACGCCATCCCTACCACGGTTCCTGCAAACATATCACACCTATGCAGCTACACGCACGCAAATTAGATCTCGGGCCAGGTCTTAAAAGAAACGGCTGACATGGCCAAACCTAAAGGAACCTAATGGCAAAAGGAACCCATATATATATAATAGCAATGGCCTCTTGTAGCGATGGCCTCCAACCTAATAGCGTCCTTGTTACTAGTAGCGTCCTCTTGCTCCTAGCAGTAAGGCCAGGAGCTACTAGTAGTGTCCTTTGTTCCTAGTAGCGATGCCCTTTGTTCCTAGTAGCGCCAAAAACTGCAAGGATGCAGGGCTACGTCTTGAGGCGCGGGCTTGCCACAACCGTTGCCACCTGTTACGAGAACTCGTTGGCCTCTCTCAACGGTAAAGTTCAAGTCTTTCACCAACAAGGTTCCATCAGGCCTGTAAACGGAGACCTCAGTGTAAAAAGCAAAGCCACATGACAAACTGCATCTCTTTCCAGCTTGTGGTTACGAGTGCAGACTTCCCTCAGCTGAACAAGCAGCTGTACAGTGGATTATTTAAGCTCCACGTGGCGAAAGACATTCAATATGAGAGGGATTGGCAAAGAACCCCTTAGCGGAACTATATTTTGGTGGAGGCTCGAGAGGTCATATTTTACCACAATGAACAGGGACCGATGAGAATTTTAAGAGCGTCCTAGAAGACCAAAGGGCTTTGAGGGGAGAGCACATCTCTATACATCTCGATTTGACTCATTATACCTACCTCCGTATGTTTGATTCTGGGGAAACGACATGGGCATCACATTCGGATTCTGTTTGGGGTGCTGCGGCTGCGTTCGATGGTGTCCCTCCAAAGTTGACGGGTTTGCTGGCGCTATGTCCGTATCTCCTTTAGTTACATGCTCACCAAGCATCATGTTCAAACTGAAGATGCTCTCCCTTTTGGAAGATAGGCGGATTCTCACCTTTGGCCAAGCGATGCAGTTTCCCACAAAATCTAGGAACCAAATCAACCATGCGAGGTCTTCTTCAAGCAAGGTCCCCCACCAAGCTCTTCTGCATCAAACCTAGTTAGTTAGTAGCTTCCTTGCTATTACTATACTAGCTGGAAGGTGCTATCTAGTCAAGCTTGCTACGGCCTACTCCCCCCTCCATCCAAAAATTTTAAACAATAGCTATGAGGGAATATTGGTGTGTTCTTCTGGCCTTGTTTGGCTGCCTCGATCTCCTCGGACAACACAGGAGGCCGGACTTGCAGCCCAAGCATGAGCTCTCGCACGCGCGTTGCAAAACCGCTCAGTCGGCCAATCCGGTTTGTGAGCTCAAAAAGGTCCTGCCAAGGCTCGCCCTTCCGGACGTGCAATGACAAAAGGATGCCTAAAAAGTAACAACAAAGCAGTCGGAGGCTGCTTGAAGGAGCTATCGCTCTATTCACTAGCAACGTTATGACATGCCCACTGGTCATAAACTCCAGGAAGACTCACCATGAAAGGACGGTCTTCAAATGGAATTGGGGTAGCCGTTCCAAACAGGATCTCCAGTTCCATTTGTTATGTTGATCTCCAACGTGAGTATTTGTATGTAACGACTGCCCACCAAACTTACAAACACCCTGATCTGGACGCCTCTTGAATTCAAAGGCCACTCTTCCGCGCAAAGATGTTTGAAAACAATGACTTCGTGGCAGCATGACCGATAAGATCCAACAGTACTGTAGTGTTCAAATGTAGTTCATATCGTGCTGAGTCTGAGTGCAGCCAGTTGTCCAGGAGCACTTTTTGCTTAACCAAAAACATTCTTCTGCGCGAAAACAAGAGGGAAAAAGGGCATGTCATATCTGCAACTTCCATCCTTCCTTTCAAACATCACCTGTCAGTCTGTAGCAACTAATCAGAACATCTGCAACATCATTTACACACTCACACACTCACGTCCGTGTACTTACATATCTACAAGATTCGCTTGGACTTCCAAGGGGCAAATCAGTGGTTGATGACGGTATGAATACGTATGTATGAATGAATGCTTTGCCGACAGCAGGTGAGCTATCTCTCTCAACATTCCCCTCACTTCTGTGATTTCCGGACACATATGTTGCTGAGGGAATCTCACTTGGAACAGTTGCATCACCTTGAAAGACTTTGGCCACAAATATGAAGCCATGTCATGCTGGAATTGGTTGGCAGAGAAGCAATGGATTGAAATGCCTTCCCTTCTCCTCTTGCAAGGAGTATCTTATTTGGAAAATGGTCACTGACGGAACACCCACAACTTTGCATTGAGTTGGTGAAAAACATTGCCAATGTCCATTTCTTGGGTTCGCACAACCGTTCTAGTACCGATCTGATGATCTTTCAACGCTTTGAGCCAGCAACATGCTAGAATTTCGACAAACCAACGGCAGGTGTAGGAACATGGTTTGACTTGGTCTGAATGATTTCTTCACCACCTTGGATTCGAGATCACGATCAAACTTCCCAGCCAATCACCCCAGTCAGGACAAGCTATTCCAGACAAACTAGTACCTTGTCTTTTGTTGGCTTCTACAACCAGGGCGCGGGGCTTGTAAGTGGCGATTGGGAGTGCAAGTTGAATAGAACACAAAACATGGATTCATCGTTATGAAATCTGCAAATCTCGTTGAATCTCCTGAATTGCTGTGGCCATGGCCTCCATATTTCTCCAGGTGGATGTAAAGTACTGCGCAATTTGATCATTTCGAAGCTCCCCCATTTCAGGCGCCCGATTCCTCAAGGGCCTAGCTATGAGAATTAAGCCGATCACCGTGCAAAAGTACTTGTTCAAGTATTGTCGCAAGACCTCCGAGTTGAAGGACGCATTGATAGTCCGTCTGCAGTGTGACATCAGCTCTGCAAAGGAGCTGTTGAGAACATCTTTCTCAGGGCGCTCTCCACCCAAGAAGGCAATCTGCTCGCAGTTGGTGATGAGCTCAGAATGTTTCCCACGAAAATTTCCTGAAACAAGTGCCGTTTGATCTCCAAAAACGAAGGTTTTCTCCCAGTCTTAGAGCCTCTGCAATACCGCGCAATTCGATTCAATCTGCGTACAATATGATCTCAAAACGTACAATGATAAGCCTCTGTGTCCTCCGACAAACACATCAGCAATACTCGTCTAAATTGACTTTAGCAAACACGGCATTCATCAAGTTCCTGCAGCACAAAGTCTTGCTTTCCATGGAGCCCGACTCAGATTATTCAATATTTCATTCAACCTTTAACGAACTCTGTACAACTGTTTTCAATTATATGTGCGGTTTCTAGTTTCTTGCATCTTCTTCCTGAAGAACTAAACAACATCTAAGAATATACACATAGAAACCACCACTGGCTGCCAAAATTCAACACTTTATTAAACCTATTCTGCCGTTTCTCGCATTGTTCTTGAGCAAAATCTATCATTTCAAGCTTTGGACACAAATCAAAACCGTCAACTAAAAAGGTCTTGGCAAGGATACCCCTGAGCAAAGCCAAGAACATACAGTTATAAACCACTGCCACCGTACAAACCTCACTTTCATCAATTCCTGAAAATAATTCTTAGTCTTAGTCTTTTCATGTCCCTTTCAACTAATTTCATGTTCCTTTCGATTGTTGAATTTTAAGGTCCGATGTTTATTCTTGCGGGAAGGTAATTCTCTGGCAATAGAATGCTCACACATTACTATAACATGGTTGCATGTGAGACAAACACATCAAACACGGCTCCTTAAAACACTTAGTTGTGGGTCTTGCCTTTTGCTGCCGACTATGATTTTCCAATATTTCCCACAACTTTTGGTGAGGCGTTAGGTCTTCTTACAGCAAGTCTTCGGTTTTTCACAATCGAGCTTGGTTTAAGCCGCACTTGTTCTTGCGAGAGGCGTTCTTAAACCCAAAAAGGCCCTTGGATTAAGACATTCCATGCCCAACGTCTGACAAATTCAAAAGTGCCAGGAAGGAAAAAGAATTGTGTCACTGGTGCAATGCTAGCACATCAACGCCCGAAGTAGTCAACTGGCATCAGTCACCTGTGGAATTTGGAGTGTGTTATCTCCGTGTTGGAGTAGCTACATGACCACACGCGTGCACGCAAGCTTCTAACATACTAGTCAATCATGCTCTCGTCGACATCACTGAACCGTTTCTTAGCAAGAACCAATCTTGAAAGGACGTGAATCCCTTTAGACTTGATCTTACTCCAGTAAGCACTAAAATAACAAGAACTTTCAACTGTGAGTGTGCTGGTCAAAAAGTTTCTGACTGGTTGTGCTAAACCGACAAGCTGCCCTCCAGCTTCTGCTCTGTGGCTGCAAGCTCGCCGAAGGGCGGCAAAGTCACCGCAGACACGCACGAAGCAACTTAGGTGTTGTTGCCCCAAAGCATGAAGAACCACTGAAAACATGTTTTAACGTTGTGCTTGCCAATGTAAAACTGAAGAACTTTATCAATCGAACTTAGAAGGACCTAGCCTAAACATGTCCAGAGCTGGGATCGGGACAAGCAAACCAGGAGTAGAGAGTCAATGGCGTAGTAAGGCCCTGTACACGGCTGAGCTCAACAGAATAGACCAAGAAGTCCACTATCGGCTTCAGGGACTGCGAAAACACTTCCTTGGCTGGCCAAAAGTGCGAAACAGCCGCGTGAAAAATTAAGAGTCCGGGTGTTTGTCAGAGTGCGCTGTTTTATGATTTTAAGTAGTGTTATAACATAATATGTCTTTAAATAGATTTCCTTTAACGTGTATTTTTAAAATATTTAATAGATTATAGTTTTAACAACTCATGCCTTAATAATGGACGGTTAAATCCTTCTAATGTATAATACTTTTGTCCCTTGTTCTCCCCTTCTCTGTAATTGCTTTCTTCCTCATTACTTTTACCTTGTCTCCCACCTAATGTTGGATACATCTTTTCTTTCCTTGCTTTCACTGATACATTCAATTTTGCTTGAAATTCATTATTCTCTTTCCTTGCTTCATTTGGTGTTAGTCCTGTTGCACTATGCACACCTTTATTACTATAAGTCAGCATTATTTATAATATGTAGTCAGTCCATTGTATATTGTGCTTTCCCTTCTTCTCATCATTTTCAACTCGTTTAAATAGTTTATCTTTCAATGTCCTAATAAATCTTTCAGCGAAGGCAGGATGTCCTCTTGCCCTGTATAATTCAATGCTTTCACCATCCACATATTCTTTAGGATCAGCACTTGCTATACCTCTTTCATCATCAGTATGCAAAATTTTGCACTTCTTTCCCATTTTTTGTAAGCCTTCCATAGTTCCAGCAATTATGTGGGGTTTTACTCTTTATTGGCACTACCACCGCATATTTATGTACTCAGAACATCTATCATTACTAAACCCGCTCTGAATTTTTGTGTTGCTTCAATGTCATCAGGTGATATAAAAAAATATGTCAAGTTGGTAGGTATGATTATTATGAGGTGCTACAAAACTGTTATGACCTCTTTGTTTTTTCTTTATCTCAACATTTTTTCTAAAAAATCTTCAACATTAGACATTTTTATTTCATATTTTTTTTGCATCTCTTAAAGCTATTGCTTTACTTCCATAACCCGCTCTATCAAAATATACACTATTCAATATTTCTTGATTTGAACTCATTATATAAAATATTAATACAACTACTGTACGTTTGAGCAAGTTTTTCAAAAATAATCAGTGAGCACTACAATTACAATACTTACAGTATGGGCAATTATCCACAGAATGGCACAGTGTATTGTCTAGTCTTTGTGATGTGAAGTTTGTTGATAATTTGCCTTGCTTCATTTCAATATATAACTTTATTCCACAGTAGGCGCAACAACCATGGAAATGATTCAAACACCAATGTTCATTAATATAGTTTTATTCATCTATTTCTCTATCAGCCACTTTATCCAGTTTTTTGTATCCTTCAATATTGTTTTTAAAATATCCGATTACTAAATTCTTTCGCATCTCTTCATCTGTTTTTTCATTCTTGAAACCATATATTTTATATATTGTTAAAATCCCTTGCTCTTGTGGTACTGCACCACAACCATTCTCTGCTTACTAGATATGATTTTTGCCATTCATGTATTGTAATGTTTCCTCCTATTGATGTCCCCTGTCTGCTTGGGCCGCCAGATAGAGGAACCAAAAAAAAAGGTGAAAAACCAACAAAACCCAAAAAAAACCAATATGTCAGAACTCTTTCTGCAGAAGCCCCAAGTTCAAAGACCTCTGGATTTTTTGTGTTTTTTTTTGAGACCCAAGATTACCAAACCTCTGGAAAATTGTATTC